TCGAAACAAATCCAACGAAAAGAAGCTGAATAAGCACCGGCGCCTCAGCTAAAATAGTCATTTTTCGGGGAGAACGTGCAAAAAACTGAGTGTGACGGGTGTTTTTCAACTAAAAATAGACCAAAATGAGGCCAAATATTCAAGAAAAAGGGCCAAATATCAAGGAAATATCATTAAAACACACAGCACACAATAGATTTTCCTAGTAACCTTGGTGGAATTAATAATAAAGTCCATGCAGGTATATCAAGATAGAGATTGAGAAAGAGGTGTACATCTTTAACTGCTAAAGCTTTTAGAAGATTTTGATTAGCTAATGACAATATGCCAACTTGTCTTGTTAAATTTATTGGAGATCTACTGGATTGTTTTAATATTTCTACAAGTCGTAATCCTTTTGTTAATCTATTCTTGCTTTCTTGTCCTAGATCAGCTGCAAATTGTGAGAATGATTGTAATTCAATAAATTGAGCAAGCTCTAGCTTATACAAAGCTGCCACATATTTCATTCCATACCATTGAGCTATAGAACCCACACGTGTTACAGATAATCCTACATCTATAGCTGGTAGAATTCCAGATAGAAATAAGTCTGCAGATAAAGCTATTTGACCATCAGTAATTGAGATGACATTTGTGCTTATGTAGCCAGAAAGATCTCCTGCTAATGTTTCAATAACTGGGAAAGAAGTAAGACTACCACCACCAAGATTGTATGATAACTTGGCAGACCTTTCTAAAAGTCGAGAATGGACAAAGAATATTTCTCCTGGATAAGCTTCTCTTCCAGCTGGTCTTCTCAATAGGAGGTATATTTCTCTATAAGCACATGCATGTCGAGATAAATCATCAAGTATAAGCAAAGAAGGAAATTCACCAGTTATCACAAAGAATTCAGACAAAGCTGTACTGCTATAAGCACATAAGTATTGATGGACAGCAGATGAACTGGCTGTCGCCATGAGCATTGAGAGGTAGAAGATAGCATCTTTTTGTAGAAGAGATAGAAAGACTTGTAGAATGCTTGATGAGCTTTGACCAAGAGAGGTGTAGACAGTGAATATAAACCTATACTTTTGATTAAGGATCGTATCTATGCAAATGGATGTTTTACCTGTCTGACGATCACCAAGAATTAATTCTCTCTGACCACATCCTATTGGTATACTTGAATCTATAGCTATAACACCTGTTTGCAATGCTTCTGTGACAGATTGTCTGTCAATTATACCTGGAGCAGGGGATTCTATCGCCCAAGGATAGTTTATATTGATTCTACCTGAATTAAAAATGAGATTACCCACTGGATCTAGAATCGAAGCTATTGTAGAGTCTCCTAGGATGATGGTGGCTAGTGTAGTTGATGCATGCACACTTGAACCTTGATCAAGAGGATTTCTTGGATTAAGCAATAAAGCACCAATAAGAAGATTCATTGTGTCATTCTGATAAAGATTTACTACAAGACCAATGGAGAAGCTTTGTGTGGTATATAACTCCATAAATTAGAATGTTCTTTTCAATTAACTTCACATAATTAAGGTCGGGCCCTTC